ACACTACAATTATGGAGGACTTTCAAAATTGTTTGGAGGATTTATGTCTTGTAGATCATCCCTTCTCTACTCTTCTGTTTACCTGATTCAATAAGCAAGAGGATAATTTCTTGGCTCGCAAGCTTGATAGAGTGCTAATTAACTCTCACTGGATGTAGGATTCTCCAGATTCGTTTGTTTGTGTTTTTTTTAAAAGGAAGTATATTAACAACCAATAGCATCAATAAAAACATCCTTTTTAATACATTATGATTATTTCGTATGAGTACCAATCAACTTACGCGCAACACCACAAACAATCATTCTGTAGTGGTCTCTTGCAATAACTCCAATTGTGGCTTCAGCGATGTCGGGGAGAAAAGCTTTGAATTCAAAGTTCAGGGTTTATCTGATAATTGTCTTGGGTTGGTGAGGGTTTTACAATGAGATTCAAGCTAATAAGCCTAAACCTTTTAAGTTCTTCAATTGTTGGACTACAAATGTTGTGTTTAAGGGTATTGTTCAGGCTCTTGGTAAGAAGAGGTCTCTTAGGAATGCTATGCAAAGATTGTTCTCGAAGTTGAAAAGGTTAATGCCAAAATTGAAGGAGCTTATTACGACTCATTATGTTGATACTTTGGGGAGAGTAACTGCTAAGAGGGTTTAACCTGAGCATATTCAATTATCTAATCTTGCTCATGACTATATTCAATTATCTAATCTTGCTCATGACTCTGTGTCATATTTGAGTGGTTGAGAGATATTTTTAACAATTGTTAAGAGCTGGTAACCTTAAATGGTAATGTAGAAACCGTTAGACACTTATTTCGATAAAGAAAAAACTTTAGACACCTAAAATGAACAAAAGATATAGTTTGAATACTTATTTTTAATTAAATCAATAAAATATATAATTTGAGTACTTATTTCTCAATTAAATCTTTGATATATTTACAGATTTAATTTTCAATATTTATATTTTTTTCAATTTAATCTTTATTTATTCTATAAAATATTAAATCTTTGATAGTGTTATGTAGTAGTCAATATATTCTTTATGCTGGTGTGCTATTATAGTCATATATACTATATCAATAAATAACTTAGAATTTAGAAAATATTTAAAAAATTAAAATTAAAAAAAATTAACATGGAAAATACATATATTACTACGTCATAGAAGTTAAAAATGTAATGATTAAGTTTTATTTAAAAATAATGATTTCACTTTTTTAATTATTTGAGAGGTAAAATTAACTTAGAAATATAAAAATTAAATTGAAAAATATATATTTTATATTTTAACAAATTGATTAGTTGATTAAATTTGACCATTTAATACTATTTACAGAAAAACAAATTAAGAAGTCCATCAGAAAAAAAAAAAAGAGGAACTAATGGTGAAATGTCATTGTTACAAAGTTCAAAAACTCCCATTGATTGGTGCATGGTAGCAATATCAACATGGAGTATGGTAAATTACATTTACATTATTTATGGTGTGACAAAAGAATGAAGAAAAATACAAAGTAAAGCACTGGAAAAAATGTGGGTAGCGAAAATTTCAGCATTTAGGAAGATCGGAAGGTGGCGGCAGGAGCTTCTGTTTCCGGCCCTTGCCGTCGTCGACAACCCAAACCATCTTCAAGCCCCAGCTGGTGTGCACTTCCAAATGGCAGTGCATAAACCAAACCCCTGTATTTTCAATACAACAAACACAAAGCACAGACGAAATCAGATGCCTATTTACAGATATATGACTTGTTTCATAAGTTAATTACCTGGGTTATCGGCGAGGAATCGAATGGCAACCCATCCACCGGAGGGCACCCCCACAGTGTTTCTCTCTGCAGGGTCAACAAGGTTGAACTTCGCGGGGTCTTTCTTGGGGTTGAAGTTTCCGATGCCTTGACCGACGACGAAGAAATTAAACCCATGAAGATGCAAAGGGTGGCTCTCTGCTGCTATAATGCTGGTGTCCTGCATCACCAACTCTACTGTAGTGTTAAACGGAAGAGCCACGACTTTGGTGCCATTGTTCACAGTCGTGTTGCTCGGCGGTGTGCCGGTGTAGTTGAACTTGATTAAAGGGTTGGTTGGGAAATCAGTGGTGAACACTCCCTTTGCTTTGTTAAAGAAGTGAGCTTGAAGGATTGCGATGTTTGGTTGAACAAACGACACGTTGTTAACCGAGGCTGCTAGTTTCGTGTTGTTCGGACCTTGGCATGTTTGGTTTTTCGGGCATGGAAGTGTCCCGAGCCCGACTGTGAAAAAGAACTGTCGATCAACCTTTTTAGGCACGTTTGCTGGGAATTTAGCATTGGCCAGGCTATGGATTTTCTTGTTGAATTTCATGGCGAAACTCGAGTCGTTGAACTTCGGAAGTACTGCTTTTAGAAGAGGGAGTTTCTTGTTTTTCCCATTGGAGTTTGAGACCGAGGATGAAGATTTCTCGTACTCTAGAATTCCAGTTGTCGTCGTGTTGTCGAAAGCAGCAGGGCCACTGGAATAAGACCTAGCCGACATTGCAAAGGTGGTACCAGGAGCCTTGGACTTGGCCCTGAGAAGAACATTAGTGGTTTGTCCTGGACTGATGAGTACAATTTGTGTTTTGAAAGGTTTGACATAGACCGCATCGGCTTCCACCACGGTCAGGGTATGATTTGCGACGCTGAAAAAGAGCTCGTCATTCAGCGCGGCATTGATCAGCCTAAGAAGATATGTTTTGCCAGGCTTCACATTGAGCTTAAACGTATCTGTTTCAACAATAATGTTTAGAGTTCCATACATAGTATCTGATTCGGATAGTCGCAACGGAACAATCAGTACAATATATTTACCTTTTGCTGAGCAGTTGTAGGAGGGACCTGGTAAGCCATTAATGGTGTAGGCATCAGAGATATTTGGTGCCGCTCCAGTCTGCAGGGCCTGGCTGATAATTGTCTCTGTGTCTTCTTTCCACCATTCTCCTGTAGCAATGTTAATTTGTTTAGGCAAGTACTTAAGTTTCCAAATACGAGAATTTAGAATTTAATTCAATTTTGTTTGTACCAAAAATGATAGGAACTTCTCTGAAGGGCTGGGGAAATGGGTAAGAAACATGTCGCTTAGGAAGGATGACAATAGGGCCATAAAGCGTGACTCTGAGCCATGAAATGTGAGCATGCTAAAACAGGGTTCCTCTTTGTCCGGTCACAGTAAAATTGTATACATAAGACAGTCCCGTTTGAATGGGGCACTGTGTGATATAGGCCGGTCCGTCCGCCCAACCGCTCCTCAGTTGCCGTATTCCATGCCTGTTTCATCATCAATGGGAGCTTTGAGAAGAAGAGTAACAACTAACAAACAACGCCGAGTAATGTAGGTCGGAACAAAAAAAAAAGGTTTTGTTTCGTACCAGTGAAGAGTGACATTGTATTGAACATGGTTGACCACCTTGATAACCAGACGATCCCCTTCCCTGGCTATGATCCGTGGCCCCGGAAATCGGCCATTGACCGTCACGATGCTCTTCGATTGACACAATCTTGTCACATTCTTCATCTTGATCTACACGAAATCCATAAGGAAAAAAAAAACAGATGAATGAGTGGAGACAAGAAACAAACTTTCGCAACGAGCTGATCAAATCATCATACGTACATCGAACGTGTACTGCCTGGTAATGGCTGCATGCTTTGCAAATGCAATCTCTGGCAATAACCAAAGAGCAGATAATGCAAACAGATCAACTCTGATTTGGAAAGACATCGTTGAACTTTGTCTTGGAAACTGTCTGAGATTTGGAAAATGACAATGGTGAAAAGAGAGAACAAGAGATGTTTGGTTTTATAACGAGGGACAAACACAAATCGTATGGTTTGTTAATTAGGTGCCATTTCAGCAGCAAGTTGCATTAATCTAAGTAGATGCCTGCTGGTCAAGGTATTCAATTTGGTGGTGTTGACGTGTATGAGCATTGGGATTTCTTTGCTTCAACTTCCTAATTCTCTCATACTTGCTGATTAAGACAATCTGGTTAGTGAGTCGGTTGTTCCTTACTGTCCAGATCCTTGATCTAACAGCTTCTGATGTTAACCTGCTGCTGATTAATCTTTCATTAACCCAATGAAATTTGGTCGCAGAATCTATTGAAAATAATTAGTATATTTATTTAAGTTCAAAGACAAATTTGATTCAGATTGACAGAGATCAAGTAAAATGATGTCAAAAAATCATACTTGTTTAACATATGAGCCAGTTTGGACTTCAATATTGTATGTTAGGTAATTTGGTGGCAATATGGAAACCAAATATATAATATCATAATATAAATATTAAAAAATATATTAAATTGTTTACATTTGTAAATTTAATGAAACGTAAATATTAAACAAAAGTTATTTTTATTAAAATATAAAATATGGATCAACTTTAACGCGTTTGAATCAACCTTTTTATAAATATTGATAAATTTGGGATAAATTTTGAAATATTTTGGATCCAATCTAATTTGAATAATTAGAATGAAAATTTAGATATTCAATATATGATTTAAAATATTGAATTTGATTTTTTAAATAAATTATGTTTTTAAATTTGGATAATTTTTTTAATAGTATGTGACTATGTGGTGATTTTTTTTGGATAATTTGGAATTTATTACCCAAGAGCAAACAATTACAAAATCAGTGTTCAAAGAACATCAGGACAAACTACTTACAAAAGAATCAAAATTAAACTATGTCCCAATGGTTGCAAAGATGTGTATTAACACTATCAACATTATTAAGAAGTCTACCACTAAGTTGGGATCCAACAATGTCCTTGATGGCTTTAAAAAGATCAGGTGTATTTCTGGATCTGTTTTGGAACATACGCTTGTTTCTTTCTTCCCAAAGAATATAAATCAAAGCATTAAGAGCAGTCTTCATAATGGCAGTAAGTAAAGATTTTCCTTTCTAGTTAGAGGAAGCCCACGTGATAAAGACTTCCCAAGAGCAAGCTCTAAATTAAAGGTCAGAAAGAAGGAAGATATAATTTCATAAGAAACCAACCATAGGACAGTGAAGGAATAAATGGTCTCTATTTTCCAATGGATTCTCACAAAACATGCAGTGGCTATCATTGATAAGCCCCATACGAAGTAGTCTAGCTTTAGTAGGAAGACGATCAATGAAAGCCATCCAAGTGATCAAACTATGTTTTGGAATATGAAAAGGAAACCAAATAAGTTTCTGCCAAGTAACCAGGGGATGTCTTACCCAAATAGAGTCCCAAATGCATCTCACTGATTTAGCTCCAGGGGACAGAATGGAGAACGCCTCAGGCCTTAGTTTGAAGATTTTCTTTAGACTCCAGCTGACAGAAGGGCGAATTCCAGCATTCCAGAAATCGTTTTCTTTAAGAATATAGCTTTTTAGCCAAGCCACCCAAAGAGAGCCTTCACCCGCAAGGATTTTCTTGATAAGAGAGAGCATACATGCTCTGTTCCAAGTTTTTAGGTCCTTAATACCGAGCCCTCCCTCCGATTTAAGACAACATATATTTTGCCAGCTTACACGTGCTCCAAAAGCAGATCTGTCTGATCCTTTCCAGAAAAAACGTGAGCATAGTTGTTCGACCTTCTTAAGGACAGAGAGAGGCAAAAATAATTTCCTACACCAATAGTTGGTGATGCTAAAGAGGACAACTCTTTTTAGTTCCAATCGTCCAACATAACTAAGAGTTTTAGTAGACCATTGGTGTAATTTGGCTTTAATATTTTCAATGAGAACCACACAATCTTTGTCAGAAATTTTCCTTGTCACAAGAGGAATGCCTAGGTACCTCACTGGTAAGGACCCAATTTTAAAATCAGTGAGAGCATGAATTTCCTTAAGAACAGGGGTAGTCATACATGCAGCAAATAATTCACACTTTGAGGCATTTAACTTTACATGCAGCAAATAATTCACACTTTGAGGCATTTAACTTTAGTCCTGACATTTCATAGAACATGTCTAGAACACTTGTTACTCCAAGAAAAGAGTCAACTGTCCCTTTGCAGAAGATTAGGAGATCATCAGCAAAGGATAGATGAGTAATTCCATTTCTTTTACACTTAGGATGATAAGCAAAAAGATTTTTTCCAACTGCCAGATTTAAGAGATTCGAAAGGATATTCATAGAGAGAACAAATAATAAAGGAGACAGTGGATCTCTTTGTCGAATACCCTTGGCTCCCTTGAAATAGCCAATTAAACTCCCATTGAAAGCAATAGAATATCTAGCAGTGGAGAAGCATAATTCAATCCAATTAATAAAGAGGCTTGGAAGACCAATGGCTTTCAAAGTGGCAGAAATGAATCCCCAATGTAAAGAATCAAAGGCTTTGTGAAGATCAATTTTGAGGGAGCATCGAGGAGAAATGTTCTTCCTATTATAATCTCTGACCAGTTCTTGGGCAAGAAGGGTATTATCAATAATATCTCTGCTTTTTACAAAAGCAGTTTGACTGAGGGTGACTAACTCAGGAATAATGTTGGTCAATCTTCTAACCAAAATTTTAGTGATGGCGACTATGTGGTAATTATAAGATAATATTTGTTCATAAATTTTCTTAGTCATTACAGACACAACTACTCGAATATGAAATCTTTAATGAAAATAATATTTTCTTTAACAACTGATGAGTTTTAAATTTAGAGTATAAAAAACTATCATTCTTGCATCTAAATTGTGCATTCAAAATTCAGATTATAAAAAGCTTCCGTTCTCATATATAATATTGATACCACATATAATTTAATCTATATTTGATTTGAACCCTAAACACTTTTTATAATAAGTATTTTTTCAAGTAATATTTAAACTACTTGTAATTCTTAAATTAAAGAATAATATATATGTAAATTAGAGATGGTCTGGGGTTAGATTGGAGTTTTGGTCCATTTGAACTCGATACGAATATAATACCTTTTTATTTGTCACTTGACTCGGATTTAGAGAAGTTATATTCGAATTAAAATTTGAATCTACTTTTAAGGTAAAATTTTACACCCGACCAGACTCAAAACGAATATATATGTATACATATATATAATTCTTATTTTATTAGGTAAAATATGGATCTAATTAAAAAATTATAGCTAGACAAGTATTATAATAATTATTCATAAATAGATAAAGGTCATATATATATTATTATTCTCGAGTTGGGTCGAGCATGATATTTTCACTCTGAATCTAAATATAAATCTAAATCTGACTTGACCCGACTTTATTCTTAAAAAAATCATATCTAAATTGAACTCATTTTTTTAGGAAAAAAAAAGTCTGGCCTAATAGAATAAGGTCGCTTCTCTGGTTCTTATTTTATTTTTCTTTTTTTAATTTTTTAATTTAAATATAGATAAACACCCTTCTGTTTTTATTTTTTTTCTTTTTGCATATATTTGAAGTATTGATTTTTGTTTATGTTTATGATGGTATGATATGATATTGTCCACCATTATGATAGTTTGGTGTTACGTTTTACATTTATTATGACACATCTCCTGATTATGAAAAATCGACAGTCTCGTATAATTAAATCTCTTTTTACTGTAGTTTATCGATACATTCAAAACTGTTCACAGAATAATCTATCATATTGGTCCTCTCAATCTCCTTGGATTCATTAATCTTGTGTCTAGACTCGAAGAGAGACATGAAATTTATTGATAGTTGCTAGATTTTCATAAAAGATGAAACATGTATTCAAGAAAATGTTTTGATTTTATGTTTATTCATTTTTTTTTTGAGTTTCTATGTTGAGATTGTATTGTCTTTATTATACTTTATCTTTTTATTTAATAAAAATATAGTATTATTTTTTAAAAAAAATCATTGTTTTATTAATTTGGGGTAAGTAAAAGTAAATATCTTTTCAAAAATAAACTATTAACTGTTTAATATTAAACGTTCAAGATAAAACAAATAATAATAATTCTTTTACCATCGAAATCGTTTGATTCATACTAAAAAAACATTTTTAGATATAAATAAACGATAAAGCACGACTCTTGGACCGTAGTCGTATTCATTAGCTCATGAAAACCGTGGGGTACTACAACCGGAAGAACCGACTGAATCCCCTTTGGTTGTAGTAGGTAAATGTTCTTATGCATCAGAAAATGCAATTTCTGAATCTAGTGATTTCAGTAATAAAATAGAGTAATTCTTTTTCTTAGAGGTCTTGGGTTCGTGTACTGACATCTACGTGTGAGCGTTGTCAATGGTTAAAAAATATTTTGAACATATATTACTCTTATAATCGTCCTAAAATATTCAAAGAAAATACGTTCTCCAGATTCGGGAAATAAACTTGCAGTGGTTGAAAAATGGCATTTTCTTAATATGGATATAGTATGATTTTATATATGTTTCAACAAAATACAGTAACATGCTGTAGCACAATTGATGGGTTTTTTTGGAGCTAGAATAATTCAAGGATATTGTATATAAAAAGACTCAGGAACCTGCCTACAAGCTGATGGAACTGTAAATGGTAAGTCAGTTACAACTGAAGTTATGTATCCATCATCTGAACAATGGAACAAGGCAAAAACCTCACCCAAGTTGGCCTGCTATTCTTATGATCGAAGCATATGTGCCCAGACCAGCAATTATCAAACCCAGAACACCAATGCAAATGCACACCGTAATCTGAAAACACAAATTCCATTTTCATTGCAATAGGCATTGCAGAGATTTTTCTTAATCCTGGATAAGCTAAGCTCAGGATTCTTACTTGTAACTTGGATAACCGATCGCCGAGTATGCTCAGATAACAGGCACACGGGAACACAACCGTCTGCCATGAAATATTAGACGGAGAAATTGGTTCAGAAATACTTATGTCCGACACATATTCGGACCAAGTTCGTGTGTTAGTAATCTATAAATGAGGAACTTACTATCAACATTGCCAACAAAGATCCTGCCAATGCCATCACAAAAGCTGCACAAGAGTAGACACATGAGGACCAAGTTCATATTTTAGTAATCTATTTTACTTGGAGAGGAAGAAAAGAAAAACAGTTAAACTTTAGGGCTTATAAAGCTTATTCTAAAGTAACCAAACAAATAATCAGAACCATATGTTATTACCGAAAAAAGGAACTTTCATCGCGACGATTAAAGTTGAAATCACTAAAGCTGTTCTGATGAGTATTGAAACACCATAAGATCTAAACCACGTCGAAGATATGAGTTCTTCGAGACTCAATGCAATGGGAGTAAGCGTCAAGGCATACTTCGATATCGTTATGATAACCTGAAACGAATGTATACACCATGCTTAAAATACTTAACCTCAATGAGCAGCACCATTTAATTGCTTAAACCAAAAGTAATAACAGAGACCCAGGACTGCCAGAAACCAAACGGCAGCATCAGTCTTGTTTAACATACCACAGTGCAGATTGCGACTTTCGAAGCCAAAAAATTTGTGGGCATGTTCAATGTAAACTGAGATTCAACGGAGTCACCGAATATCAGAAAGCCAGAGATTGCTATCCCTGTGCTAAGGATCCAACAAAACGTAAAGCTGGAAAAGAGGACAAAAGAAGTTAACAAGACTGATAATTCGAAAAGAGTTTGTAATAAGAGATCATAAATGATTTTGATTATAGCTATAAGAAGGTGAAATTTCATGTTACCTGCCTATAAGAACAAAAGGAAATTGTGAGGGCTCTCTCATGGAAGAATATATATTTGGGAAAACTGAATGGCCAGCATAGCAGAAACTATATATACCAACTGAGATGGGAAGATTTGAGAGGTTAAGGGAGGTTCCACCTTGATGAAACCCGGCATGATCAACTCCGATCCATAACAAGCAAAGCACCATTAAAATTGATGCTCCAACTCCACCAACTGAACAATTTAAGGTTCAAGATTAACATTCATATGTTAAAACATGGGATTATGAAACATGTTGGGGAGGTGGGAGCAGAAGATAAACCTGAAAGGTACGAAAGCAAGCTAAGGTCTCGAAGCCAAACAGTTGGGAGAATAAAAAGAGTTCCTATGATTGCAAATACTTGAGGAGCATCGAGATATATTCCTGCAAAATGCATGCCGGTGTTCGGGAAAATCGTCGACAGGTTATCACTCATCATTATCACATACTCCACACATGCCGCCTACAGATCAGAGGGTGCTGCTCAAATTTTAGTGCAGAACATGGTGTGGAAACCATATTAAACAGAGAACTTAATTGACAAATGACAAAGAAATCATTGCACTTACATATAATTCTGCATACAAGATCACCTGCAATTCAGATATTAAGACCAAAGTGTTGGCATAACATCTCTCAGTACAAACAAAGGTGTACACAGTAACATTGAACAAATATGTTGTAATAATGATCAACTTACGGATATCATTAAGCGACCGGCTACACCGAAAGCAGCCTGGCCAATATCAGGATAAGTTTGCAGACCAGGAGAGCTTTCTAAACATCTCTTTAATAAAACCCCTGTATAGCAGGCAACGATACCGAATATTACGAGTAATGTGAGGCTAAGCCACCCTCCTTCTTTGACTGCATAAGGAGTTGTAAGGAGTCCTATGCCGGACAGAACATTGATTCCTACATAAAATTAAACAAAGATCTAAAATTAGTGGAGCTCCTTTAGCATCTTCGTTTATAATCAGAAATCAGGCACAAAAATAGAACTTTTAGCCTATGAAGCTGAAAACTGACAATATGGTTACGTTTTCCCTCATGGTTCATTACCATTAATAAGTGCTTGGATAAATGAACACTGATTCTCTAATGGTGGTATTGATCCATTGATAGATATACTTTGCTGAGAGGCTATGAGATTAGGGGTATGAGCTTCTTCATCCAAAACCGCCTCGAAAACGAGCGGATTACCGAGGGAAGAAAACTCATCATTGAGACTTGGATATTTGCAAGTGGAGCTGGTGCTGCCCACCGATCCTGTTACACCACTTATCTTTAGGAAACTAAGGGATTGAGGCGTAGCACCTTTGAGCATATCCATTGATTCCCTGCATGTATTCAACGAGGCATGATCCCGTTTCAATATTGTAATGCAGATTCTTAACAATCATAAAAGCCTAAAGATGCATTATCATCCTAACAATCTGCAGTCATGTTTGTACCTGTAACTTTGAGGCCAATTTGAATTGTTAGCTCCAATGAAATTGTTTGACGAATTTCGGGATGGGAAGGTGAAATCAGATTCTGTGTCATCCTCAGCGTGACCACATACCCTTTCGGCTCGGTTTTCTTCATCGTCTGTTTGGAATGCATCTTCTCGATCTAAACCAACACCAATATCTTCCTCATCAATCTTCATATCTTCCCTTCTTTTTCTATTTTGTTTTCTTGATACAAAATTAACACACAAACATATATATATATACACCGAATGCACAACGAAACTGAAGGATATGTTCTTTTTTCACTTCCAGAGGAATTAAATTTCTGTAATACAAAATGGAGTCAAAACAATAGATAAAAGGTGGATTGATTGTGTTTGTTTCTTCTACGTTTTTTTCATGATGAAAAAAAATAATCAATGGGGTGATGATTACAGCATGCATGCAATTGGAATGCATGGATCTGGTCATTTGTGTCATATGAATGTCGAAGTGAACACGTGGCAGTTCTATGATGATTTCACTATTAATAGCAACCATTTGAGGAGATCCGAACTTGTGGGTTGCATTTCATATTCCTCGTTTGCCACATCACCTTTCTCCAACTTTGCTTCCCTTACTAGGTAGGATTTATAATCTGCTACTTGATTTTGGGTACAATTTAACCTAGTTAGATATACTATTTGACATTTGTTAGAATCAAACATTAAGAAGGGTAAAGTTATTGAACTTCACAAAATAAGGGTTTATTAGCTATTTAGCCTTAAAATTTAGGGAACTCATTGATCAACTTTAGGAGTAAAAGGGAGTGTTGTTGTCACTAGAAGTCTTAAGTTCAAACAATATAATATGTGTGCATTCATTATTAATTGGCTAAGATACTTCACTATCTATGAGGGTCCCAAAATTCACTTAATCTCCATTATACATGTACTACAACTCATTTCATATAACATATTTATAAGTATCAGTTAAATAAATATAAATATTTTTTATAAAAGAAGTATGAAATACCTATCCAAACTCCCATCACATACTCTTATAACATATATGATATTATTCCAACCATCACTAATTTAAAAACAATAATTAATCATTGTAACCCTTTAATTGATAAATTGAAATATAAATCAAACATGAATTTAGAAAATTCGTACATAATATTCATATAAACACAAATACAAAAATTATAGAAATCAATCGATACATGCAACACTAATGTTACTATTTTTTTTTGAAATATGTTTATTATATATTATGAACAAGCGGGGACGAGATGAGTATAGAGTCACATTCATACATATTTCATCACCTACTATGGATCTATTTTCTATTCTCATCCCCATTCTGCCATTCATAAAATTTCTATTCATCCTTGCTGAATTGGATGCGAAGTGGTACGCATCCCACAAAACCACCTTATTAACATTCCTATCCCTCTCATTGTCTATACAAGTCCATCACCATTTTCAAGCACTGTCAACTCTACTTAGTACAACGTGGAATCACTCCTTGCACCAACTACTAATACGAAGTAAATCTAGATACCAGCATAGGTCCATGAGTTGTTATCCCTATCTCATTTCCATTTATCATATTAGTCATAATATTAAAATTAATCCTAACGTTTATCAAAATGGTCATTTTGATCCTTATTCTCTTTTTTGGGAATATTTTGACCGTCAATGTTTCATTTTAGGCAAAAAAAACCCTACTATGGATAAAAACTATTATTTAACACACAATTAACGCTCCAAAATAAGGTCTCTTTACCCTAAAATAAAACTTTGAGGGCCAAAATACTCCAGAAGAAGAGAATAAGGGCTACAGTAACTATTTTGTTATATGTTAAGAGCATTTTTTGTCCTAAAATAAAATGCTAAGGACTAAAATACTCTAAAAAAATATGAATCAAAATGACTATTTTGATAAACGTTAGGGTTACTTTTGACATTTTGCCTTAAATAGTGGTTACTTTCTCCATAATTATGAATCCTTTATTGACTCAAGTATAGAAAAGCATTCTAAAATACATGTATAGGTGCCTCTTAACTTATTCTTGTTTTACAAACACATTATCCAACTCCATCTCCAAACTTTATATATTCAAAAAAAAGGCTCAACACTGATATAAGGCTATAATATTTATTTTGATAATATATTGCAGTTCAAAGATCCAACATGATGTTTTGAAACACTCTCTCCAAATTTTATAATTAGCCCTAATTATACGAATCCGTCTGTAGACACCCGTTTTTGTCTGGATCTTTTTTTTTTATTTTTTTATTTTGTGTTATTTATTTTATTTTATTTTATTATTAATTATTATTATTATTATTTTATTATTATTATTACATTTTGTAGGCCAAATGTGGTCCAATTACAAGCCTCTCAACCTCAAGGCCCAAACAAAGGACCCAACTCAGTTAGGGTTTCACCCTATTCTCCCTAGTCGCCTTTAACACCAGCCGTTAGATATGGAGGAAAATCAACGGCCCAGATCGTCCTAGATTAGGGTTTTCTAACCCTAAAATGTTACACTGCTGCCACCAGTGAACACCAGTTACCAAGTCAACACGTAGACATCACTAATCAGCTCAACCGCCACCGCCACTATTCTGGCCCACTCCGACGATCCAGCCACCGTCCCACGCCACCATCTTCATCTACAATAGAAAAGTCAATCAAACAACAACCATTTCAGTCACAAATCACCCCTAAATCAAAAACCCATTAAAAATAGGATTAGATCCCGATTTTTCTGGATTTAATAGATTACAAATCAAAGACACATCCCCTATCTACCTAGATATCATCATCATACCACCAGAAATGCACATGCAAACAAACATAAAAAGACCAGAGAAGAGAAAAGAATGAAGCATTCGGTGAAAAACCCATTCGGGGAAAACGAAAAAAAGAAAAGAAAATACCCATTTGAACCTAAAAAAATAAGAGAGGAAAGGGAGAACAAAACTTACCCAAACCAGAGGCCGTTCAGTTTCATCGGAGATCGGGAGTCAAGATTGGAGGTAAAACTTCCTAGATCTAGGGTGTTTCTTTTAGTTTTCGGGGAAAGGGGCTTTGGATAAGGGTTTAGGGTGAGAGAGGGAATATTTTGGGGTCTTGTGGTTCACTCCCACCGTCATGCGCCACCGCTGACGCCACCGTAAACCGTCGTGGCTGACGCAGTCGGCATCCTTCTATCTCTCCCCGGGGAGGAGGGTTGAGAGAATTTTATTCTCTCTCTCTGTGCTTTTGTAGAGAATGAAGAAATGAGAGGGAAATGAGGGAAGAAGCCCGTTTTGGAGCTTAAATATTAGGAGCAAAACGCTGTCGTTTTGGCCTCCCATTTCACCGTGTATTTCAAGCATAAGGGGAAAATAACACATCGGGTCCCTAACTGTTGTGATTTTATTTATATTCGTCATATATATTAGGGTAAATTTCAGTTTCATGTCCCCCACGTTTGTAATGTTCTGTTATTAATCACTAATGAAACTTTGAACGCTTTGACTTAGGGCTTCATGTTTGTTTTGCATTATATTCTCGTCCTAGTTTTTATGTTAAATACGTTTATGTTGATATTTTACTTTGAGCACGTAATTTTAAAAGTTTTCATGTTAGTCACCAATTTCATGTGTTATATAATCTTTGTTATTATTCAAATTTGACTTTGATATTTGTAAATATGTCATTTTAATCATTGATTAGGCATTTGGTTTAATTATTATATGGTTCTTTATGTTTCTGTCTTACCCATTTTGGCCCATGAATTTATGTTTATTCCATTTTGGTCTTTTATGTTAATTGTTGATTTAAAATGTTTAATATACGTCTTAGGCTTTAGATTTTCCTCTATGTTTATTTTAGTCACTATCTTTAGTATAGTATTTAGGATTTGTTAGTTTTATTACGTATTTGGTCCCTATTATTTTTCATTATTTTAATTTAGCCTTCTTGTCATTTTATTTCATATCAGTTTTATTATTTTGATTTAAATCATATTTTGTTTATTTATTCTATTTATGTTATTAATGTTTGTTATTAAATTATATGTGCAACCTTGAATGTTTGTATAATGTTCATCTTTATATATTTATCACGTGTTAATTTATTTTATGAAATGTTCTTTTGTCAATATTACATGTATATATTATTTGATATTAAAAGCTTAAGTGGTTTATTCGAATAATTTCAAAGAACACATATGCGTAGAATGAGTGCGCAAAGTACCACTTGGTCGAAGTGATGCGATCCGATACAGCATTTTAACAAAGTGTGAATTTGAAATAAATCAACTTTATCTTGTTAATTAATTCATCTCATATTTTAAATCTAACGACGCGATTTTTGTTTCTCTAGGTAACAATTTATTTTATTTCACGCAAATGTATATTTGCAAATTATATTCGATATGCATCTTTTACATATTCGATGATAGAATATTCTTTAACAATGAAAAAAAGTTGAAATAGCTTTCCCGATGGAGGATTGCAAAATTCAAGATTTTTTATCGAGTTAAAGGATTTTCTTTAAATAGTTAATTCGAAGTAAATTAATAAATGTTCAATAAATTGATCACATTTTAACTTTATATTCGACTCATAAATTCCAACATTTACGATAACTTGTAAGCGACACAGTACCAATTTTGGGCATTGTGGAGTGCTAATCCTTCCCTACGCGTAACCGACTCCCGAACCCCGTTTTAATCGAATCTGTGATAAACGCAGACTGGCATTTTGTCTTAAAATGATTTTTCTTAAAAATTGTTTTTAAAAGACGTTTTTAGGTATTCGACCTACCTAACCCAAAGGTCGATGGCGACTCTATCCATTTTTCATACAAATTAATTCAAAATCACCCAATTTTTCAAAATTAAAGTCATAATCGTTTTAAAAATAATATATAATTGTTTTACGAAAAATGGTTATGACATGTTGGTGACTCTGCTGGGGACGACCTTTTTAGAGAGTCAGGCTGTAAATCGCTTACAAATTGTCGTCTTGGTGGAAATTATTAATGTCTTTAGTTAACTTATGATTCATTTATTGAAGTTTTTAATTACTTTATTTTTAATTATCGTACTAATATTTCAATTTTTGTTTTCAGCTCTATTCAAATCTCTCTCGAGAGTTTTCTTTTTCATTTTTGAGTCAAAGGTAGGTACGTTCCTCCTCACACACATCATTGCATTTGCATAACATGAGCTCTAAACACAAGCTTCGATCCAAAT